ATAATACTTTCTCGTTTGCCGTCAGCATTCAGCAAATATGCATTTATATAATTTAAACAAATCTTTGAATGACTAATGAACATTTAATTAAAAAAATCTTGCAAACTTAGTCAAATCCAGCTGTGAGATCTTGTGAAGTGTTCATTTGTATCCTGCATGATCGCGTGTTCTCTGTGTGATGGTCGGTCCGTGTGAATTGAATGTGGACAGGAGGAGAGTTCTGCTTCACTGGAGATGCGCGATCGACAAACTTTAAACTCATGATTTCAGATTATGCTGCGCTTCATGCTTTTGCCCACTGTCATATTCATGTCATGTTCACTGTGTGCTGTATGTAATATGAGTGTTACCTTGGCTTTATTTGAAAAAATATGATTCCCAAATCCCAATGCACACAAACTTCCCAGATGAGTGCCCTGTTGGTTACAGTGTTTACTTCCTTTTTAATTATATTTTTATTAAATATTTATTTATTTGTGAAAAATACTTTGTCGGTTAAAGTATAAATGTTTATTTTACACATTTATTTTTTAATCCATTTCCAAATGATTTAAAATTTCTTAAATATTAATTAAAATAAATAAAATTATATCGGCTTTATATCAGCCATCGGCCACCCTGCTTTCCAAGATATCGGCATCGGCAGTCAAAAAAACAATATCGGTCGACCACTACTGCACACACAAGCACATAAAAAGTATGTATGTGTGTACCATGAGAGCAGGCCCGCACAGAGTTTGCATCTGCAAAACTCCACAGATTTCCATAGAATTGGAGCACCCATCATTCATGAAGTCCTACGCGTCAGTGCCCCATGTATACACTTCAGTTGTGGCTGAAATAGGCGCCAAATTTGGTAGTTATTTCGGTCAAAATACCACAGAATGTTTACAGAGATCTATCTTGGTATCCTACTTGCAGCACACTGCTATTACTCAAACTGCTTTTTGCTTTCATTGACTTGTTTTCTGTATTTTTACTTCATTTCAGGCAATCTTCACACTGTTGTTGGGGCCCTTCACCTTTTTCAGTGCGCAGAAGACCAAATACCTCCAGATCCTTACCTCTCTAATGAGATGGATTGGTAAGTTGTTTACTATTTTTTGTTTTTGTTTTTTTATTTGTTTTGTTTTTTATTTGTTTTTTGTTTGTTTTTTGTTTTGTTTTGTTTTGTTTTTATTTGTTTTTTGTTTGGTTTTGGTTTTGTTTGTTTTTGTTTTGATTGGTTTTGGTTTGGTTTGTTTGGTTTTTTAATTTATTTTTTGTTTGGTTTTAATTTATTTTAAGGTTTTGTTTTAAATTTTGATATATGGGTGATATTTGTTTTTTTTATATTTATTTATTTATATAAATTTAGTTGTTTTTATTTTAGATTTTCATAATAATGGTTTGCAACACAACATAGCCTAAAACAAAATCTGCTCTAGTATTCAAGATTTACCTTAGGGAGAAAATAAATTATGGTGGTTTGTTAATGTTTCTGTGAGTAACTCAGTTTTGTGAAAGCTTAAATTATCTGTACAGGATAAGTGCATTAAGTTTTTTTTTTTTTTTTCATTTCCCCATTAACCTTTTTTTATTTACTTACTATATGCCTCTTAAAGGTATGGCATCATGGTTAGTACTAGAGATGCACCGATCGATCGGCCAGGGATCGGAATCGGCCGATTTTCCTCATGATCGGCACAGATCGGTGATCGGTCGGTCAGTCTCACTTCTTTCCAATTTCGAGCCGATCCGTTTTGTTACCAGCGGCACAGGCAATAACATCAGCCGTGCATTCTCGCTCTCTTCTCTCCAACGACCCCTTCTCTCTCACACAGGTCTCATTCACTCCGGTTAAATAGTGCTTGTATTGCGCATTATACTATTGCATTTATTTGTGCTGTTGTTTGCCTTTTTTTTATTTGTTCTTTTTTTATTACTGACTTTTTACTTTTTTTTTCATGAAAATAAAACTTTGAGTTGAAGAAAAGTAGATTTTTGTTTGTATATGCTGTCAATTATAGTTCTTAGAAAGAAAATCGAAATCAGTATCGGCAGATCACACTAACGAAAAATCGGAATCGGCCAAGAAAATTTCAATCAGTGCATCTCTAGTTAGTACATTGTTCCCCTCCTCTGCAGTGTAGCCAGGGTCTGTCAATCATAAATGCGTCCCGCTCCATGTCTCCGCCTTCTGTCTCCCTCATACTTCAGCCTGACAAGCCGTCTCAGGCGTGATTGGGCAGTCACTTACCAGACGACAGGCCCAAAATAAAACCGCCCATCCTCACCCGCCGCAAAAATCACAGCCGCACTGAATCGTGGCTTCTGCTCCCATGTGCACGCAGTGGTGAATGAACCTGTAAAACGTACAAAAAAACATGCATTCTTGGGCGCACATTCGCAGTGCTCATAGACCTTTAAAGAAACAAGCATGCGCCCTTTTGCTCACCTTCCTCTGCTCTTCGTGTCATTAATTCACAATGAGATGTGAATGAGAGTCATTGGCTGTTTGATACGTTTCCTAATAGCTCCACGGGCATTAAGAAGGCAAAAAATGGAGGCAGTTGTTCTAGCTGTGTAGGTTTCAGTAATGCTGAGTGGTGGAAAGTGGTGTTATGCAGCATTGTGTAGCAATTACTCAACATTTATGTATCAAGAAATGTATAGACAAAGTACAGAAATCTGCTGGTTAGCATGTGCGCCCATATTTCTGCCATCTGTGTTTTAATTCACTGCCCATTTAAGGGCACTGTAACCTGAGGGGTGAAGTAGCTCATCCTGCTTGCTTCAGCAACATATACTGCTGAATGCAGGTGATGAACTTCACAGCAGTGCTGTTATTTCTCAGACTGTTTATCCAGAATGGATTCTTGCTCTATTAGCCGTGTGAATCAATATGGGGTCATTTGCATCATGTATGTATTATGCATGCTTCCACTCGATCGTGAAAGACATCACTGGTCTAGCTGGCCGCTGTTTGCTTTGTATTGCAGTTTTTTTCTTTTCTTTTTGTGGTAATACATCACGGTGCCCTGCAGCAAAGTGGCCATTTTTATGTATGTGTGCTGCCCTTATCTTTCTCTGTTGCTGTTTTTTTCCTTCCTCTATTCTGAATCTCCAGAGAGCTGAAGTAATTATTTGATAATGCATTCTTCTCATTTTTAGTCTAGAGTATGATTTAGAGCCGTTCAGATCTAGAACTGCGAGTCCTTATTAAAGTATTAAAATGTCTGAAATTCACTTTTCAAACACTTTTCAAATCAAAATCTTTTTTTTTTTTTATCCTTAAATATCTTGCATAAAACTCACTTTACTTTAATTGTCATCAAAATTATTGCATTTTATCATTATTAAAATTAGGGATGCACTGATGTATCGGCCGCAGATATTTATCGGCCGATTTTTCCTCAATTTACAACCATCGGCATATTTGCGTGCTTTCATTACCCATATAGCTCTTGCTCTGTAGACTAGAAAACCCGTCAAAATAAGAGTCCCGCCTTAGTAAATTTATTTAATATGTATCTTTGTTATGTTATATTTATATATTTATATATAATATAACATAACATATTTATAATATAATATATATAATATATGATATAACACAATATATTTATATATATTTATGTAGGCCTGCTGAATGTTAAATGGATCCAATCCATGTTCATTAGAAATTATTTGATGATGCAGCAATAAAACTGCTAGTATAATTTAATGCAGGTGTTTTTGAACTTTGCTGATTTAAAACATGATCAAAATACTATCTATTTTGATGCCAAAATTTCAAATAAGAGATGAAGTGAAAAATATCGGTATCAGAATCGGCCAATAAATGTTTGTTAAAATCGGTATTGGTATCGGCCCCAAAAAATCCTATCGGTGCATCCCTAATTAAAATAATTTCATGTTACACAGTATTAATCACCATACAATTCATTTAATACGAATTGTTACTTTTAAAGCTTCACTGTTAGTGCTGTTATATTATTAATTTAGTGAATTAATATTCCAATATTAATATCTATATTAATGTTAAAATGTACTTTTTCATCTTAAAGTTGCAAAATTGGTCTTAATTCAAGTATCAAATTGTCAAACAATTGTAAAAACTTTTTTTTTTACATTTTGAATGTTTAAAATAATCTGTTGATTTTTACAAAGTTATTCAGATATTCTGCAGTGGTTCTTGCTTTACAGATTGTTTTCCAGTTGTGCTTATTAATCATTCTCCCAAGCAGGACCAAATTGATTCATAAGCAAAACAAACAAACAAGCCATAAAAAAAATAAAACAAATGAAAATCTTGTCTAAGCTTTAGATTGGATTGAATTTTTAATGTGATCCAGCAATAGTCAATGGTTTTAGTTCCTTTTGAATAGCTACTATTAACAAATGCTTGAGCATTTAATACGCAGAGTGATCCATAAACGATCTCAATTTCTAATTAGTATTAAAAAAAACAGCCTCATCTGTGTTAATGAAACTTCCTTTATCATAGATTGAGGCACTGGTATTTATCCCCGAGGAGAAAAACAGATAGCCAAATCTAATATAAAGCATGATATTAGTTTGTAGTGTTTTTCCGCAGAGACATTATGACAAACATTTGCATTGAATATAAAGTGGCTTTTATATTTTGTAAACAGTCTTGAAATTGTTACAAGAAAATCAGTGTTTATTTATTACTCGGCTCTCTGGAATACTTGATTCTGATTGGTCAATCACTGCATTCGGCGGACAAACTTTTTTTGTATGGTGATGCTAAACTGTATATTTGACTTGTCCCTTGCAACTAAATTCCTACATATCGGTGCTAGTTTCATGTCTCTCGTATCACTCCACAGCTTCTTTTTATCCCACATAATACAATAATTTGATCTCAAATCAATATTTCATGTCCGTTTAATTTCTTTGGTAAGTAGTCTAGTAATAACATGGAGAATATACTCAAGCAGTCATCCCAAAATAAACCCCTTCCAAGTGATACAAGACCCTTGCCATCCTTTTAGGCTTTATTTTGACCAGATGACTGAACTTTCATCCATTAAGTAGTAACAATATTATTTCATACCAAAACCCAAGCTGTCAAAATTACCTCAACACTCAACATTTTTCCCCTTTTATTGATTAAAGGGGTCATATGATGCAATTTCAAGTTTTCCTTTCTCTTTGGAGTGTTACAAGCTGTTCGTGAATAGCTAAGATCCCTAAAGTTGCAAAGACTAAAGTCTCAAACCCAAAAAGATATTCTTTATAAAAGTTAAGACTGGTCCACGCCCTCCTAAACGCCTCATTCAAACACGCCCCCACAATTTGCATAACACCGCCCAAATGTTCACGCAAAGTAAGAAGACGTAACTTTATTGTTGCTGCCACCGCCGCCGCCATGTTGTGAAGACGCTGTGTGTTTCGTTGTGAAAGCGAAACTACTTTGTTTGGCCTTCCAAAAGAGGACACGACTAGAAATCAGTGGTTAAGTTGTATTTACAACACTGTTCCAGAACAGTTCAACCCAAATATTCAGATGTGTGCAGCGCATTTTACGGAGGACTGTTTCCTGATCCTGGGAGAGTAGACTACAATGCCGGCTGTTCTGACTCACAGACTGTAAGTAAGTTTTTTTTATATTTAAAGAATTTGCCACTGATGATTCAAACGTGAGTTTTGAGCAGTGTAGAGTAGTGCTTGTTGTTTGTCATTTCTCCGATCACAAATGCAGATATGGTTTTATGTTTACGCGGCACGAAAAAAGACCGTATAAGTCATTATAATCGGTAATTATGTCCCCACTGGATGCAACAAATGCCTCATTTATAATGGGTTCAATGGCATATCAATACATTAGTGCAGCTGTTCTTTTTCAATGCCAATAGGTTATTCTCAATGCCAATAGGTTGACCAGTCGCCCATCATTTCTTTTCCTCTTTCTATTCGCCCTTTCCAGTCTTGTGCTTTTTCCCATGATCCTCTCTGCTCTCAGTCATTACTCACAGCAGACAGCAGGACAAGCAGGCACGTCCCTTGTGTGCCTCTGTTCACCCATAATGCACAGAAGGAGAGACCGTGCCTGCTCCTGTGTCAAACGAGATGTGG